CATACAAGCAAAGGTTGTTTACATACAAGCGTTCAGGCATCTGTAGAGACGCCCGATCGCGTGTAGTATGCTTGAGGGTGTGCGCCCCCCCCTCCGTCGCAGCCGCAGCTAGCGATCCCGGGCTCCGCTGTGCCCGGTGTAGGCCCGAGACCAGCACAGCAGCTCTGCGGCCGGAGATCAAACGGAGCTCAGTACACCATCTCCGTTTGATCTCCTCCTCGTCGAATTGCAGGCAGTGATGTGTATTACATCACTTCCTGCATTCAGTGTCACTTGCCGGTACAGAAACCGGAGAGAAGCTGGTGAAGCAGGTGTTTGCTTCATCAGCTTCTCTGTGGGTCCCTAGGTGACATTAGGGGTCTTAAAGATCCCTGATGTCTCTATAAAGAGGACCTGTCACTGCAAATTGGCTATCACATAGGGAGCTTGTTTTCTCCCTATGTGATAGCAATAAAGTTAAATGGAAAAAATAAAAGGTTTAAAAAAATAAAAGTTACAAAATAAAAATTAAAAAAATTAAAAGTCACATATCAAAGCAACAAAAAATTTTTGTTTTTATTTTAAATTAAAGTCCCCCGCCCCATGCAAACGCAGACATGCGTCGAGTCCGCCTACATGTGAAAAAGGACGATTACATCCATTGCACCGCACATTTTACATATCGTTGCGAACGTCGTAGTGAGAGCAATTCTAGGGCCATCAATCACTGATAACACTAAACTGATGAGCGGTAAAAGCTTTTAAAGCGTCGTCTATGGCCAATTTTCCCCCCGCCTATAATGCATTGCAGGGACTTGTAGTCCTACATAGTTGGTGCTATTCTGCATTGCTGTATAATCATCATTCAGCAATGCAGAATTCCACCAGCAATGCTGGACTACAAGTATGCAATATAATAACAGTCAGCACAACAGAATACCACCAGCTCCCCCCCCCCCCCCCACATTTCCCCCACTGTATGTGCAAAATGGATGGTGGTGATATAATATTTAATCAGAAGTTACTGTTACTATAGATTGGTAGAATACATATCACATGTACAAAATAAAGTATAGATCAGCATTTGTTTTGATTTTTGTTTTCGGATTTATTTTATTTAATAGAAACGAAAGTTGATTAGAAAATGGCTGCATCCAAACATTGTGGGTGGGAGGCTAATATCCTATTTGTGTTGGAAGTTGAAAAGAGGCCCTGTCTATATGACATGAGATTGAAAGAATACCGTAATCAGATCGCCCGGCAAATGGCGTGGACAGAAATAAGCCATATTTTAAATATCCCTGGTACAGTATTGCTGTTTTATATATAATTCTTTTAAACAATAAATCTAAGTAGGGATGCACTGAAAAAAGATACTACTATCGTTCTTGGAGTCTCCGTAAATGCTGATGGGCCAGGAAGCAGACTCCATGCTGTTTAGTCAGCTCGATGCTGATTGGCTAGGGAGCCGGCCAAACATCATGGAGCCAGCTTCCTGGGCAACCAAAAAGTCGCGTGTCATGTCATGTGCCCCATGGCCAGCTTCTTGGTTCCTCGGGATGCCGGATCAATGCTAGCGGAAGTATCAGTACTTGGTATCGGAGAGTACCGAAATATAAATATTGGTACTCGTACTCGATCCCTAAAAAGCGACAACAGTGCATCCCTAGTCCTAATAACGTATTTGTTAAATGTTGCACT